GATGTTTTCGTTTATACATGTTTGCATTCCTTAACGAATGGATACTTCAATATGGCTAGAAAACTGCTATTGTTTTTCTCAAATAAGTTATTTTTAGTGTGATCTAAAGAATTAGGAAGAATGCTCATGGAAAGAATGAATCCATAGTTGATATTCGTTCAGCAGTAGAATGATTGCTCAATGGTTAATGTAAGCAAAATCCGATATGAACGACATGAAACTGCGAAACTTTTCACGGTGATCCATCTGACTGTCTCAAATTATGCTTCTTGCAAGAGCTACTAACGATAAGCAAAATAATTGTTGACATCGATACCTCGTCGTCATTGTCTTCAGGTACTACAGATAAGAGTCTCGGTGATGCCATCTTCAGAGTTTTATTCTCAAAATCTGAGACATTACGACCGGTTAACATCATTCCCAACTTCACACCTTCTCGCATCAATCGCATTGGTTGTGCTAACATCGCTTGATCCTTATCGTTCAATTTTTTCATTCGCAGTTTTATGGCTCTATCCATTTCCAACGACATCCCATCGCCGCTCTCAATATCGATTTTGATCTGAATTCAAACTTTAATATTTTTTGCTGCTTTCGATGCGAATATCTCAGTCAACATATGCAATCAAATCACAAAAACAATTCTTTATCATGTTTAAGTGCAATTGTCATAATTATATCGACAGTATTGTTGGTGGAATAATTGCAATTTTGACTTTAAAAAAATCTCATCCAAATTGTCATTTCAATAACAGATAGTTATTGTTATTGAAAATGAATTAATCAATCATGGGACGAAGATAACTTTTGATCGCGTAGAGAGGAAGAAAAAAATTTAAGAAATCAAAATCATGCGAGGTTGATAACCGGTTTAGCACGCTCTCGTCTCTCAGCGATTGGCAAATTGTGAAGTTGTGCATCTATAATGGATTCGAAGCGATTCGAAGCCGCTTTTCGATGAGCGTCTCGTTCTCGAACCTCTTCACCCAACTGCTTAATCTCATCCAATGTGGCTGTCCAACTGATAATGTCGATGATAAGAATAGTGATATGATAATGCTAATCGTAATGAGGACATCTAAGATGTCATTATTTCTATATCATTGATATGGAATATATTCAGCANGTGATATGATAATGCTAATCGTAATGAGGACATCTAAGATGTCATTAATTCTATATCATTGATATGGAATATATTCAGCAATGGTTCTGACAGTGACAACTTTTCATTTAGTCACTTTCTTCAGTGCTAAAGAAATACCAGATTCTTTTTCGAATCTCTCAAATCATCTTGGAAATTTGAGGCGACATAAAAATTTCTTGAATATTTTCAAATCCAAAGACTAATCACTGGATCAATATTCTTGCTCAGTGAATCAATCAGTTTCACGATATCAGTAGTGGTAAAATTCAACATTTGATGAATGGTCAAACCAATGAAAGTTTCAAACCTTTTATGAGATGTTTTATTTTTTAGCTGCTCAAATGCCCTTGTGAGATATTTGCCGATCAGTCCAAATGCTGTCAGACCACTATTCTCGGTCAAAAGTGAATATCGACTGCGATTTTTCACCGCTCTTTTCATTCGCGTCACTCGGAAACCACCAACCCAGTGGTTTACCGTGTTTCGATTATCTACAGCTACCGCGTTCAGCACTCTCTCGTTTGCTTCTGATCTCTTCTGATTTAGTGGTAGCCCTTGGAATTTGGCAGCTTTCGATGATGCACTCTTCATAATTTTTGATTTCTCCGACTGCAATAGACCCTCTCTGTTCATAGTTAATGGCAACTGAACAGCTATGAGTTCATAATTTTGTCCACCAACATTTT